TCATTGATTTTTCCCCACTGTTTTCCTATTTTTAAATTCATGAATTTATGCTCTTATCTTTATTATTTCTTTTCTTCTGCTTGTTTTTGGGTTTATTTTTAAATTCTTTTCTATTTCCTTAAGATGGGAACTTAAATTACTGATTTAAGACCTTTTCTCTTTTCTAATACAAACATTTAGTGCTATACGTTTCCCTCTCAATGAGTGACATGTTAGCTGTAGTTTTTAATTTGCTTTCTTTTCCTAGATGATTTTCTTTATAGGGTTGAGGTAACACAGAGATCATAAATTAGAAAATGATGCTCCATTTTCATTCAGTTCAGTGTGTTTTCTTTTACTTTCCTTGTGACAATCTCTCAGATCTGTGAATTATTTAGAAGTATGATCTTTAACCTGAAAATGCTTGGATAGTTTCTTGTTACCTTTCTGTTACTGATTTCTCTGATTTCCCGTTTGATTGCTTATGGTAAGAAAAAAAACCCTCTTTATAATTGTAATTCTTTTAAACTTGTTGATGTTTATTTTTTGGGCCAGGATATGATCTGTCTTGCTGAATGTTTCTTGGATGCTGAAAGGAATGTGCATTCTGCTGTTAGCTGGAGCACTCTATAGTATCAGCAAGATTTGATTGCTGGGAGATATTGCTGAGTTCTCTCTGCTGAATTTCTTTTTAGTTCTTCCATGAATTGTAGAGAAAGAGTAAAAGTCTCCATCTATAATAGTGGATTTGTCAGTCTATAATCCATTTGTGCATGTGCCACTTTCTCTTGTCATTTACTTTCTCTTGTCATTTTGTCAGTTTTTCATGTATTTTTCAGCCCAGTTATTTGGTGAATACACATTCAGGATAACTATGATCTCCTGGTGGATTGTTTTATCTATATGCAATATCCCTCTCTGCCTTGGAAATGTTCTTTGCTCTGAAATATACTTCATGTGATATTAATATAGCCGTTCCTACTCTTTTGATTACTGTTTGTATGGTTTATCTTTATCTGTGCTTTTACTATTTTGCTATTTTATTTTGTTTCAGCCATCAAACATAATTTGAAAACTCAAGATGAAAAAGAAAGTGTATCATATTTAACCATACATTTGCTCTTTCTTTTGTTATTTCTTCCTGATACTCCAAGATTCCTTCTTTTTATCATTTCATTTCTGTTTGAAGACCTTCTTAGCAGTACTTTCAGGGTAAGTCTGCTGCTCTTCTAGTTTTTCATCATCTGAGAATGTCTTGAGTCTCCCTTCATTCCTGAAGGATATATTTGATGGATATAGAAATCTGGGTTGATTGTTCTTGCCTTTTAGCAGTTAAAAATATTATGCCACTTTTTTCTGGCCTCCATGGTTTCTGAGGAGAGACTTGTAGTTTTTCTCTATAGGCAAATTGTCATTTATCTCTCACTGCTTTCAAGAAATTTTATCTTTCTTTAGTTTTCATGAGTTCGATTTGTGGATTGTTGTGTCTTGGCATAGATTTGGGGGGTGTCTAGCCTTTTTAGGATTTGCCCAGCTTCTTAAATCTTAGGTTTATATCTTTTACCAATTTTTAAATCATTATTTCTTTGAATATCTTTTCATCCCTGCCCTCTTTCTCCAATGATAAAAATGTTAGATCTTTTCTTCGTGTCCCACAGATCACTGAGGGTTGGTTCCTTTTGTTTTTTAGTCTTTTTTCATTTTTCAGATGAATAATTTCTGTTGTATCTTCAAGTTCCCCGATTCTTTCCTTTATACTCTCCATTATATTATGGTGCCCATTCCGTTAGAGTTTTACTTCAGTTGTTTCATTTTCAGTTCTAAAATTTCCATGTGGTCCTCCTTTATAATTTTGATTTCTTGTCTGAGACTTTCCATTTTTTTTCATTTATTTCAAGTGTGTTTCTCATTGCTTGTTGAAGAATTTTTATGGTAGCTGCTTTGAAATCCTTTTCAGATAATTTCGACATCTGTATCACCGCAGTATTAGCTTCTGTTGATTGACTTTTCTCATTCAACTTGAAACGCCCCTGGCTCACAGGATCCCCACGTGGTCTTTGCTGTTACCACAGGAGAGGGGCTTGTTACAGTCTGGTGAGTGTGGAAGTTCTGGTTCCCACTTGGCCTTCACCAAGGAGCTTACTTTTTTTTCCTGTGGAATTTGGCGGGAGCAGTTATTATCTAGGAGTGTTATGTCTAGGTTTAGTGCCCCTTTCCTGGCTTTCTGGCTAGGGAGATCAGGCTTCTCTTGGGGCTTTTTGTTTTCTTTGTAGTACCCACTGACACACCAGCTTCCCAGCACCTAGTCTAGGACATATGAGGGGAAACAAAAAGGAAACCTATCTCTATGCCATTCTTCGGGATCCCAAGGCCCGCAGCTGATCTGCTTCCTCTTCATCTTTACAGTCTCCTTATGCTTGTTTTCTATAAAATGCCAAGTTTTTAGCTCTGCTCAGTGGGACGAATTGGAAGAAATGCATCCACTTCATCTTGCTTCAGAACTAGAAGCCTGCTTTATCGTCTTTAATTGGAGACTAAAACGATTACATTCTCTTCTCCAGTAAACTCATATATATTTGTGTCGTTAAATTCCTTATCACCAAACACAATTCATGCACCAGGGAGGTGCTCCAGGCTTACTCTGTGATTTTGGGCACTTTGTAATCCCTGTCAACTTGCACTTTGGCGCATGTGCCCTGGTTTGAGGAGCACTGGTCTGTGGCTAAAACTTGTTGAGGACTCATTATGTGGCCAAACACTGTTCTCACTGTTCTAAGGGATTTATAAGGGTGAACTCATGAATCCTCATAGCACTCTTAGGTACTGTTATTACCTTCATTTTATTTAAAAAATTGAGTTATGGAGACATTTAATACTTTTCCAAAGTGATGCCACTGGGCAAGAGCAGGAATTGAAAACGAGAGCCCTAAGCTAGTGTATTGGGGTACCTGTCTGTGTTGGGAAAATGCATTTGGGTTTTGAAGCCAGAAGAATATTCCAAGACACCATCTCTGCCTTTTACTGGTGGTGACCTTTGTCAAGTTCCCTACTATCTACAAGCTTCAATTTCCTCATCTGTGTAATAGGGAAAACATGACATGCCTCACTATGTTTGGGAAATAATAGATAACATCAACGTCTAGTCTATGAGGCCCTTAGCCCACAGCAGATCTTCAGTAAGTCATTTACTTACTAATGGCAGGTTGCCATTGTTATGGTTTATCCATGTCCACAGGGAGGCAGCATCTGTAGTGATTAAGAGTACACACTTTAGAGTTAGACTGATGCATTTGGATTGTCGCACCAGAGCAAATTATCTGAGAGAGCCAGGCAAGCCTGCTTACCTCTCAACATCCTGCCTCTCCAGTAGGTGTGATGATGCCAATTCCAGAAGGCAGTGTGGGCAGTTGAGAGGGTCCTGAGCGTGGAGAGTGTCACAGTGACTAGGTGTTGTGAGGGACAGTAGGGTTTCCGATGGGTCTGAGTGCTTGTATCAGTTCTGGGTGAAATGAAAATGTTTGGTGATGCTACGTGATGCTCCTTCTTTGCATTGGTGCCATCCCCAAGACATCAGTGACTCTCACTTGGGGGCATGGCAAAACCACCCACCAGGAACTTTCTGCAGTCTTGGGCTTCTCAAGCAAAGTATGCTTTTTGTGGAATTTGCCCCTTGACAAGGTGAATTTGCTTCTGAAACATGACCAGGTGTCTTAGCACCCAGATTGAGACTCTCAGCATTTTGTCTGACACTGACTCACTCTACACAATCTGTCACAGAGGAACAAAGGCTTTGTGTTTACATGAAGGCTTGCAGTGATGTCTGTGATGCCTGGAGTTGACCAGACACTGTCGTGGGTTGTTGTGTTCTTCCAGAATTCAATGATCAGGGCTGATATTTTGCAAACATGTTCAGTTATTTTCAAAAACAAAGTTAATAAAGTTCAAGAAATTTAAGTAGTTTTCCCAAAATATGGTCTGTGTTTCTTTTTGTTTGTTTTGTAAAATAAAATGTGTTCAGAAGAGAAGCCAAGAGAATCTTACCACTTTCTTGAAATGCCCAAGTCTGCTCTAGAATTTCAGGAGCTGTCTCGCTCTTGGATGCAGTTTTTGTATTTAACTGTAGCTCTGTTGAGGGACTCTTGCTGTGGCTCTTTCTGAGTAGCCTCTTCCTACACTTATGGCCAGGGAAGAGAGAATGTCATGATCCTTACTATTATAATTACCACATGCTAGGCTCTTACTGCTAAAAAACTTAAGCCTTTTGAAACCAAAATCGTAATATTTGCAGGGGCTTCCCTTAGTGACGGAGCAGCACTGAGCAATGGCTACAGAGCATGCATTACCCATGCCAAGTGGCATCTGTCAGTCCTTGGAAGCTGGGGTAAGAATTTGTGGAGATGCAGGTACAGTGGAGGTGGCACACAATGAGGGGTGCTTTCCTCTTCTTATGACTGCTTTTGTATCTGTGCATACCCTCCTTGTCCACATGTCTCAACCTCACCGACTACAGAAGAAAAACTTCTTCTTCCCTATTCCTTTTCTTAGACAACAGTTGGCCTTACTTTCCAACACTACTTCTCCAGCTCTCCTTGGCCTTAAGTGTGAGGGACTTCAGGAGCCTGTGGGAAAGTGGGATCTCTGGGAAATCTCCAGAGAAGAAAAGTTGGAAGATGATACAAGCAGAGGAAACATCCAGAGATTTAAATGGTGGCCCAGCACATGGCATTGAAAGACTAACAGTCTAACATTATAGATGAACAAACAGAGGCTCCATATAGCCATTAAAATTTTGAGAAAACCTTAAGCAGGTCTCAAATAAAATTGCACACAATGGAAGATGTCTAATAGCAGCATGCATTCACATAATTTAGTCTACAACTTTCTGATGTATAGAAATAAAAGGTAGTGAACGTTGTGAAAATGCAAAGGTGCTAAGGCCATGTTCCCATGAGCTACGAGTCCATATCTCATGAGGCTGTCCAGATTTCGGATGCCGTAACTCATTTCTCTTTGTATTTCAGGTTGGGCTTCCCAATGATGATTGTGTCCTGCATCGTTGGGATGTGTTATCTTCTTGTGGCTCATGTGGTGGTGGGATGGAATTAATAGACATCCATCTGTCACTCGAAAACTAAAGGAAACTTCATCCATCACAACCCATCAGTCATAAAACTACCCTGACACCACTGTTTGGAGAAGAAAAGGTGCTTACCCTGGAGATGCTATGGAGACACAGTGGAATAAACCTTGACACTAACACTAATTCCGGTGAATGCTGGAACACCGTGGCCGCCTCTTTGTGTCCTTTCTCCCCAAGGACAAAATGTAGAAAACGTGAGATAACTTATTCGAGATTCTCCTCCAGAAAAATACGTATGTTTCAAAACCCTCCCTGCTATACATAGGAAAAGACACACATGCACCCAAAATTGCTTGTGCTGTTTAATTGTCAATTCTCTTGAGGCTAAACACAGTCTGTTTTTTCTTGTAATCACTTTTCATGTTAAAATAACCAGCACTCAAATTGTATGCTCTCTGAATATAGACTTTCTGGGAAAAGGTTTACTGCTTATAAGGAAACATTTTATATATTAAACTGTTCCTTGATAAAAGGCTTTGGAGTAGTTTACATTATGTAAAATTGCATTTTATCCATTTATGTTTTTCTCTGCAGTTTTAAAGTTATCAATTAAAAGTCCAGAAATTTGACTTGCTGAAGATCATAGATATCTTTTAAGGGATATTTTACACATTTAACAGCCAAGAGTAATGATTTTCCATTTTGCAAGTGGTGCATGCTATTTTCATCAATTACGCAGATGTACAGTGGATACGCTCAGCCCTGCTCTCCCTGCAGGACACTGTGGCTCAGTCAGTGTTTATTAAATGCAGTTCTTTTGTGCAGCATTCCTGAAAGGCAAGGGTAATGAGAACAAAGATCAAGGGGGAGTCCTGTGCTTCCTCCGAGGTCTCCTCTGCTCTGCCTCATCAGTATCATGGTTATGCCCCAGAGGAAGAAGCCCTTCTTCAGTTTCCGATCTTCTGTGCATACCTTGGAATAAAAATGTCTGGGGACGCTGCTCCGAAGTGATTGTGTGTCAAGCGTCTGACTTCAAAAGGTCCAAGCTGCTCAGGACACTAAGAACTGCAAAGCAGGAGACCTTTCTGGTCCCATGTCTGCCACGGGCACCCTCAGGATGGGTGTCCCTGTCTACTGTTCAGAGTCTACATTGTAGAATGGCAACCTAGTTCCTCCCTGAAAGGTTGGGAGTGTTTATGATAATATGCCTTTTGAATTCCTTGACAGCAAAGCTGATGTGCAACCCTATTTTATTTTAAAATATGGTATTGGACAACATCACACAGAAGCCTCCAGACACGTGCAGCTGACTGGATGTCCTGGAGGAGCCCCTGCCACAGTCTGTCTAGGAAAGGGTTCTTCCCGCTGCTACCGCACTGCCTATACTTTGCTTGGTCTCACTGGACCTGGATGTGCCTGAGCTGGTCACTGAAAAGCATCGTTTCCTCTTCTATCCCACATCAGGATGCCTGGGGGCAGCACTATCTCCCTCGTGTCCGGCTCCTTCCAGCTCAGCTCACGTCTGCTCTTTCATCCTTTCACATGTCATCCCTTAACAACGCTCAGGCCCCGTCTCCCACCTGCTGCCTCTCCTCATTGGCGCCTCTCTCTACTCTTCAGTCATCCCTTCTCATTCTTGAGACGGAGTCTAGCTCTGTCACCCAGGCTGGAGTGCAGTGGTGCTATCTCAGTTCACTGCAAGCTGTGCCTCCCGGGTTCACGCCATTCTCCTGCCTCAGCCTCCCGAGTAGCTGGCACTACAGGCGTCTGCCACCTCACCCGGCTAATTTGTGTGTGTGTGTGTGTGTGTGTTTTTAGTAGAGACGGGGTTTCACTGTGTTAGCCAGGATGGTCTTGATCTCCTGACCTCGTGATCCACCTACCTTGGCCTCCCAAAGTGCTGGAATTACAGGCATGAGCCACCGCGCCCAGCCCAGCCCTTCTCATTCTTAAAAACCATTAGCTCTGGGCTGATTTCTCCCTCTTGCTCATACCCGTGGCCTCCCCTGAGGTTCCTATTCATGCCCCCCAGTTCTGATTTCTCTGCCCTCACCACCTTCCCCCACTCCCCTCTGTGTTACACCCACCCTGGGTCCCCAGGACCTGCCTAGGTCCTTCATCTCTGTGGTCTTTCTCTGACACTCCAACACTTCCAGTCATTTACCCCAGGTTGCCCTCTAAAACAAACCTTGCCCCGCTGGAACCTCTTGTTCATTGGCCCCGTACATTTTAACTTCCCCTGTCAACTCCCTCTTAGCTGTTTATGCTCTAAAAATTAAAAGTCAACCAACAAACTGTCCCTATGCTACCTTTACTGCCCCTCAATGTTTCTGAGGCGAGTCATCCCACAGGGATGGCTGGTTTTATTTTTAAGTGAAGATTTCAAGCATCAGACAGGCTCTCGGCACTGCCTGGCTCTTTGATTCCATTTCCCTAGCACAGCAGCCAGAGGACTGGCTGGAAACAGGTGGCTGCCCACACTGGGTAAGTGCAAGTGACTGTAGCCAGGGATAGTGCAATCCTTTAGGGTCCGTGAGAGGAGGCAGCTGTGGGTTTCTGAGGGGGAGGGGCCAGTGACCACGACCTGGAGATGCAGGGAGCCGTGTCCAGAGGGACTGGACGGGAGCCGTGGTCTTCTGCTGGGGCTGTGCCAGCATGAGACACTTGGCAGCCAGGGCGGGGTCCGGGGGGCGAGAGGTGGGCCGTGGGAATCATCCTGAGTTTATGCCTTTCATCCTGTGGCTTCCCTCTGTCCAAGGACTGAACTAGCTGGAAGCCAGGGGACAGCAAGCACTGCTGATGCTGTCCAGGAATGGGAGTGGGGCAGGAGAAGCAGATGGAAGATACTCAGCTTTATGTACTGTTTGGCTCCTCAGCAGATGAAAAGTCCACTTGAAGAAAGGAGACACTAAAAGTGCCATGAGCTTTTCCACCTAAGAGTCCACACGAGCTTGCCCACACTCCCTCCTGACACTGTCTCCAGAATTATTAGGTGACCAATCCAGTGCTTATTAAATCCTGTCATTATGATGGAAAAAGACAACCTCGAAGGAAGCGGCTGTGCCTTTGCTATAAACGTTGGACTGCCACAGGCTGTTGTCCTTGCTAGACTCTGTCTGACGTCATGTGCATAAAGTCCTAAAGGTTACAGGGACGGCAAGGACACCATTGTACAGTCTGAATTCACCGTGAAAATCTAGATGGTGTGTGTGCTGCAGACGAGGATCTGATCCTCCCTGAGCTTGCATGAGGAGCTGTGCCTTAGCTTTGACATACGGCCCCACGCAGGCAATGTGACAGCAGCAGAGTCCCTGGGAATCTGAGCCACTTCCTCCTGCAGTGCATGTGTGCCTTCCAGATCCGCTGGGGCCCAGTCTTGCAGATGCAACATACTTTATAACGGAAGATCACTGTGCCCATCCGACGGGACGGTTATGTGGATCAGATAGCCCTTGGCTTGTGATGCACAGCCCAAGTTCTGCAGTCACTCTGTTTCCACAATCAGATCTTCAACCTGCACCAAGGCCCAGTGGCAACCTGGAGCTGCTTTTCTAGAGAAGACTAGTTCACTAGTCAGAACGGGAAGACAGGGACTTCATTCCAATCTTGAGGTTTGCGCTCTGACTCTCCCCTCAAGGCTTGCCAGCATCTCCCTACAGTGTCTGTGACTGTCCTGGGGATGCCTGCAGCCGTGCTGTGCTATTTCACAAGGCCCAAGTGGCAGGGCACCCAGCATGGCAACCTGGACCTGGGAGCTGCACTTGCTTGCTCTGGTCCCCCTCAAACCTTGCAGCCTTGGGAGGTTACCTGCTAATGGGTTAGAGCAGCAAATCCAATATGTTATATGCTGCCTATAAAATTAAAAGTCGACCATCAAGAATTGTGTTTTGTTTTTTTTTTTTTTGATGATTGGTACAACTGTTTCTCACTTTGCAGGGTAATTTCAAGTCACTCATTCCTAAAATTACCATCAGGATGTTGTATTTCTTTTGTGTTACCATCTTGGTATGAGATGGGCAACTTCCTCATGTAATAGGAAACAAACTTGGGAGTTCTGATGGTTATTTAACATGATCTCTCTCAGCATTCATTCTGGAGAAGGGGAATAACCATGGGAGGGGTCCACCATTTCACAGGACCAATTATTATGCGGACTTAGCACAAGAATGCACCTGTCACTTGGCCAACATAAACCTCTATTCTGTCTTAAGGACCAGAGGATGTTTTGAGTCTCTGAGAATCAGGGAAAATTTAAAACCATTAGGACTATCTAGATATTTCTTACTGGAATGCAAAAGTCACCTGGTAAATGGCCACAGGTCCCTCTGAGGAAGGTGTGGGAAGAGTAGTAAATGCATCCGTGGGTCTGTTGCAGGATCTTTCTCAAATGCACCTGGATGACCTCTCTTCAATCAATGACCTGTGAGGCTAGGAACACTCCCAGGTCTGGGAAGCAGCTTGTGTCATTCATCCTTCTTATGATGACTGAAGCTTCTCCCCAGGCCCAGATTCTCTCCAGGTTTCTATGTCAAGCTTCCCATAGAAGCTGTTGCTTTGAGCTCTGTGATTCACTTGCCTTTTGGCAGAGACCTTTGAAGCATAATGTGGTAACGGCGCCTGCCTTGACTATGACAATTCAGCACACCCCTGGTCTTCACCACCTTGGAATCCCGTTATTCCTACTGAGAAAAGAGAACTTTATTCCATTACTGCCTCTCCTACTGTCAGCAACAGTCTCCAAAGGACAGATGTCAGAGACTTCTAAGGACACCGGTGGCCCCCCTGCAACACTGCATTTATTAATGCTTCAATGCAGGAAGTGTCCACTGGATTCTCTCGCAGGGAATGCTAGGCGACAGCTGAGTAGGGGACACATAAAAATCTGAGCCTTTGGACTCCTTTCTTTATATGCCCAATATTAACCAACTGTGCATATTAAATAACGCCTGTTCCAAGTGGTCAAGCTAACACATTAAGTCTCAAATTCTCGGTGAGTGTGCCTGTCCAGAAATTTGGCCCATTCAAGCCTTGTGTTTTATCCTCTGGGATGTAATATACTTAGATTCCATTTCCTTAAGTGGAATCCAAAGAGGGGTGTAGTTCTGTAACTTTTTCAATAGGCAGGTTAATTTGTCTTGAAGGAGACTTTCTACTTCTCTATCCAGGATGCGTTAGTATCTTGTAAGAGCCCTGGAGAAAATGATGGGTATTGAGGGATGAATCTTGAGACAAATACACATCAGTTTGTGAGGCAACTAACCCAGGTCCACTCACTAGATGGCTTTAAGTGGAGAAAAGAGGGATGGGCTTGTGGATCATAGGGAGATAGCATGATTCTTCCCACTTAACTCTTGGTCAAGGTTGTCTTTGCTAACACCTATGCTTGCAAATAAATTTTAGGATAAGCTTGCTTATGCCTATTTAAAAAAAAACTTGACCTGATGTGATAGAAATCACACTAAACCTACAAGTGAATTTGGGCAGAATTGACAATTTTACTATGTTGAGCTTTCCATCCCTTGGATATGATAT